ATAATAATGTAGCAAAAACAAATTATAGACGAGAAACTGTACTTTTGTTGGTGTTTTTAGCTTCTGTTGCTCTAGGCTGGGACCTTGGCTTTTGAAGCTCAAGAAACTAATTATTTAATATTTTTCTTCTTTGCATCCTTTAGCACTGTCCCTTCCCTGAGTCAGGAAGGTGAGATGCACTGGATACAAGGAAGTTAATTGGGGGACAATGCTCCCTTGATCCATGTCACCAAATATCCCACTAGAGAAATAATTATTGCCCCAGTGGTGACCAGTGTATCAGTCTTTGGCCATTTTCAAGGTTTAGCTAGGTGCTGTGGTAGACAATGATCAGGCTTCTAGCGGGCCTGATAAAACAGTAAGAGATGATGGCAGGGGTATATGCTTGAGTAAGAATTTGTTCGCATGGCAAATTCTTAGGCCTTGAATATTGATTGACATGACCCCCCTCCAGCCAGCTTATTGGTATAAAAAGTCCTTGTTTGGGACTCTTTTTTGATAACAGTAAATTTTCGTTTTCCTGTAGTTAGTTATATGATGTTGATAGAGTGCAATGGAGTTAGAGGAAGTACATTTTATATTTTCAATACATATAATTTCAGAACTCAGATATATTTGATCATATTAAATCTATTCTATTGCCAACCAATTGTAAAGCTCATTCTATTGAAGCAGTATTAGAACATGGGAACATTTTGACAATTTCTCTTTTTACAGGGTTGCCTCACTGATTCAATCTAGGATCCAGGCCATTGCTTTAGAATGTGACTCAATTGCGGAATTCATCCTTGGGAAAGTTGATCTATTATAAGGGATTTTACAGGTGTTTCAGTCTTACTTGTTTGGATAAAAATTTTAATATGTGTATCTGAAATTTTGTTCAAAGACACTTTGGAGGAACTTGTTTAGTCTGAACTCTTATCATATATTTAGTGTATCCCATTCTAATTTGAGATGAACTTGGAGGCTTGTAAGTTATACTTTCAAATCCTTGTGCAGAATAATTTAAACATTATTATTTAAAAATGTTTTTGAATCTGTAATATGCGCACGTGGTACAAAATTCAGATATTACATATAGATAGTCAGTGAAGAATAAATCTTTCTCTTTCTCTCTTGAGGAGACAACCACAGTTGCCATACCTCCCCATCCATGGGACTTACTATACAGGAAATCCTTGTTTTACAGGATAGTGCAAGATCATAACAATGACTGTGTAAGATGAAACCGTACACTGTGATCTCAATAATGAGAGAGAAAAATTGACTGTTCCTTGGAATCTTCTCATCCTACAACTTAATTCAGACAGAGCCTCTTTTCTATGCCTTGGCAAACTGCTTACTCCTGTTTGGATCGGGGCAAACATTTTATCTTTTGCATTTTCAATGTTGTGAAATATTTCCAAGAGGTACTTTACTAGGAAGTTTTTTTTGCCCATGTCACTTCCTTTGAGACATCTTCCTTTTTATCACAACCACTTTTCCTCATTTATGTCAATAAATTTACCTTCTTGAACTTTCTCTTGCTGCATACCTAGAGTCTGTCGAACAGTAGCAGTATCAACATTCTCATGATCAGCTATTTCTTCAAAGACTCCATTTACATTTCTTTTCTGATTGAGATATAACTGACATGTAACATTTTATTAGTTTTGGGTGTACAACATAATGGTTGATATATGTATATATTACATGACGATTACCACAGTAAGTTAAGTTAATATCCAACACTACACACAGTTACACATTTTTTTTCTTGTGATAAGAAATTTTAAGATCTATTCTCGTAGCAACTTTGAAATATACAACACAGCATTGTTAACAATAGTTGCTATACTGTACATTACATCCCTAGGACTTATTTATCTTATAACTGGAAGTTTGTACCTTTTGATCACTTTTACCCATATCGCCAACCCTGCAACCCCTGCCTCTGGCAACCACTAATCTGTTCTCTATATCTATGAGTTTGATTGTTTTTTTAGATTCCATATGTAAATGAGATCATACAGTATTTGCCTTTCTCTGACTTATTTCACTCAGCATAACTCCTCAGGTTTATTCATGTTTTTGCAGATGGCAGGATTTCCTTCTTTTTTTATGGATGAATAATTCCATTTTATACATTTACATATTCATTTCTTTATCCATTCATCTGTTAATGGTCACTTAGGTTGCTTCCGTGTCTTGGCTATTGTAAGTAATACTGCAGTGAACATGGGGGCACAGATATTTCTTCAAGTTAGTGTTTTCATTTCCTTTGAATAAACAACCAGAAGTGGAATTGCTGAATCATATGATAGTTCTATGTTTAATTTTTTAAGGAACTACCATACTGTTTTCCATAATTGCTATATCAACTTACATTACCACCAACAGTGCACAAGGATTCCCTCTTCTCCATGTCCTTGCCAACACTCATTATTTCTTGTCTTTTTGATAATACCCATTGTGGTAAGTGTGAGGTGATAGCTTGTGGAGGTTTTGATTGGCATTTCCCTGATAATAGTGATGTTGGCATATTTTCATGTACCTGTTGGGCATTTGTATGTCTTCTTTAGAAAAATATCTGTTCAGTTCCTCAGCCCATATTTTAATCAGATTATTATTTTATTGCTATTGAGTTGTATGAGTTCTTTATACATTTGAATATTAACTCCTTATCAGATTTATGATTTGCAAATATTTTTTCCCATTGTGTAGATTGCCTTTTCATTTTGTTCATGGGTTCATTGGCTGTACTGAAGCTTTTTAGATTGATGTAGTCTTACTTGTTTATTTTGCTTTTGTTATTTTTACTTTTGGCATCAAATCCTCCATTTACATCTGATTCAAATTTCTAAACTTTATTTTGTAAAATATCCTGTGGATTTTGCACTGGGAGCCAAGGAGGCAACAACTACATGCTTTGCTGTCTGTGAAAGAACTGAACAACATGTGCAGTGATTGACCATCAATGAAAAATTTTGAAAGAAATGACAGGCTTGGTCTCTGATCTTGATGTGCATTTGTTACTGTGGACTACAGAGAAAGCAGAGAAGTTTGCACTTAATACAATTGAGGTTACTATATTGTGGTATCTGAAGTTTGAACTGTATTGTGCAAGGACTGGTATTGTTTCTACTGTGGTAACTAAAATTTCTGCATTTCAGAACTATGCAAAAGATGGCTGCCTATATGATGGCAGGTTGTATATTCCAAAGGTGGTGCAACAATTTCTTCTAGCCTACATGACCTAGAACTTCCCATTTCCACATCAAGAGGGTAGGGTCTAATTCCCCTCTCCTTGAATTTGGGCGGTTTTGTAACTCTTGGAATCAATTAAATGCTGCAAAAATAACTACATGGTTTTTAAAGCAGAATTGTAAAAGTCAGTAAAGCTTAACACTGGGACACTTTCACCAGTGCTCTAAGCAGCCATGTAAGCGATCTAACTGCCTGGAGACCATATACTATGAAGTCCAAACAAGCCCATGTAGACAAGTCACCTGGAGAAATAATGTGAATTGATTGATCCAGTATTATATTATTGGGCTTTTAGGTTGTTTTTAATCTTTTGCTGACATAAGTAATTCTGCAACAATATCTTTGAACACACTCTATTTCTCACCAGTGTAACTCTATGCACTGGTTAAATTCCAAAAACCAAAATAAGCACGAAATCTTGAATTTGGAAGGATATTTCTTTTTCACACCTTACAATAAAGTTAAATCAAGTAAAATAAAAGAATGTACTTCAGTTTTCAAGGAAGTACTTAATGGTCCACTTTCTTAGTGAAGTAAAAGTTACAAATATCATTTGTGCTTATAAGGGGAAAGGCACTGGTAGCACAGTGAAGAAGATAAATTTCATTGAGATGAGAAAATCCCTTAGGCAAGATAATTTATTCTCTGATTTAAAAGTGTATTTTGTAGAAAGAGGACCGTGTTTCTCTGACCAAGAAATTGAATCATTGCATATTCTTTATCTACATCCATGAAATGCAGAAAATGAACAAAGAGCAAGTGGAGAGTGGAAATTTTTTTCAAGAAAATAAGTTTTAGGTGTCAATTCTGGAGTCTGTGCCATTCATCTTTATGTTGTACACCAGTTTTGTCAACATTTACTAAAGGACCTTTAGCTCAAAACAAAAACTAATGCACACACTGCTCATAATGAGAACCTCATGCCTTTCAAAAAAGGTTTGTTACATTAGTATAATTTACTTAAGAAGAAAAGAAAGTTCATTTGATACTTTAGACTGTCATAAGAAAGAGCACCAACACAAAAATATCTGGCCTTAAAGAGTTAAGCCTCAGCAATCTAAAAAAGTAGTTATTCCAGTGTGACACTTTTGTACCTTGCAGATTACAAATTCTTTGTTTTAGGTTTCAGCTTAACTTTATCTTGATGCTAAGATAATTGAAATTTGTACAATATTTCCTTCTCAAGATAGCTACACTTGTGCATATCTTTGGCTTCTGTGGTGGCTAATTTCAGCTCTCTGTCTCAATAGACACGATAAGGCAGCATTTTAGTTAATATGTAGCGAACTTCTAAAAGCACTCTAACAAACTTCCTCGTTTTTAATTCACCCTCAGAATATTTGTCTATGAATTCCAGCCTTGTTTGCTTTTTAATTTTAAAGTACACATTTGGTTTCAAGGGGTTCCATTTTTCCTTTCTGCTGCATCATTTGATTTAGGCACTTCCAGTTTTCTGATAATTCTTTATAATAATAATGTAATGTCACTGTTTGCTAAAGTATAGATGGTCAAAATCCAAATTTCTGCATAGCTGAACCAACCTTAAGAAAGCGAAGTGGATGATCCACCAAAGCATTCGAGTTTCAGGCTGTGCACGTGTCACATGCTTGCTGAAATGCAATTTGCGTTTTCACTTTGTTTACTTTCCATGTGAAGCGCTCTTCTAAGACCCAATCTTCAGTCAGCAGGTGATTTTCTTTATGGGAGTAAGAAAAAGCTAAGTTATGAAATAACTGTTATGTTCATGTTACAAGGTATCTTGGATTCAGAAGTCTAAATGAAATGGTCTAAAGATTACTTTAAAAAAATCCACCAACCACTCTTGCAACCCAAGTGATGAAACCCAAAGAATTTATATAGCGAAATGGAGGAAATGAGAATGGTCATGTAAAAATCCGCCGTTGGTGAAGTGATGAAGAATATTTACTGGCTTATCCTGAAACTCGTCAGTTTTGCGACTCTTGGCTGCATATGGATTTCTGTGGTTCAGTGTACAGTTTTAAACAGCTGTTTAAAGTCATGTGTCACTAATCTGGTAAGTTTTACTGGTCTAATATTTGTCTTTGAGGGCACTAGAATGTACAGAATTCAGCTTGTTTTTAGTTTATGAGAAGTTTTCTCATGAGAAGTGTTAGCAACGCAAGAAAGATTCTTTTTCTAGAGTAAGGGAGGGCCATTTGTAATTATGGAAGGTAAAGCAGGGCTATTTTATTTATTTTATTTTTCATGTGTTCATAGATCTTTTTGGGGAGGGCGTGAGATTTGAGTAAAGGAGGCTTAAATAGAATCAACTTTACATGCTTAAAAAATGTCAATTTAAATTCATTTATTACAAAATCATTTCTATTTGTCTTGAAGCATGAAATAGGTTTGGCCACAGGGCAATGTCTTCTAGTTGCAGACATTAGTATTATTTATATCGTGAATGGATGATTGTATGGGGAGGTGGATGACCAAGGAAGCAGATGCAATGCCATATAGAACTTTTTATTTTAAAAGCAAGAATTGTTTGTATATTCCTTTACTTCTATTTGTGTATTTGTAATTTTTTCAGTAATTAGTTTTTTTGATCTAGAAGCCTGTTTTTCTTCTCATTTATGGGTGTCATCCCTCCTATATATATTGTTTCATGTCTTTTCAGTTATTATGATTTAGTTGTACTTAAAACAGTCACTGAATCAACTTTAAATCCCAAATACGTTCTAGCTAAGGAAAGAGACACTCATCTAAAGACAAAAGAAATAGTATAATAGCTTATATGACATTACTTAAAACCATACTTTAAAAAATAATGAAAATACCAAATACCGTACTCATTATGCTAGAATATTGGAGACAGAAGTCTAAGGTAGATTAAAAAATAATTTACTAGTATTAAACTCCTTTTGGTTAAATTTAAACTATAGTTTAAAATACTACTTAGGCTTACTGTGGATAATATAGCACTTTAAAAAAAAAGTTTGGTATTTTGTCTTTGCTGAAGACTTCGTTGCCATTCATGTAGAGCTGTATGCTTTAGGTTTTTGCAGTTGTAATCCCAGTTTTAAAATGGAAAAGTGGGGCTGCTTAATGTTCTTTTATTAAAAATTTAAAAAATCTTCTCTTCTTATGACAAGAGTACATAGTCATTGTAAAATACTTCTAAGATGAAGAAGAAATAGAGAAGAATAAAGGAAAAACCCCTACGATTCCAACACTACTAACCTCAGATTGTATTCTTTCAGTGTTTTTCCTCTAATATGCATACAGTTTTATGTACAGTTGTGCACTCAGCTTTTTCATTTAACATTATATTGTGAGTTTCCCCCATATCCTGATGTTTTTATGGAAACAGGATCTTTAATATATTTAGAATACTCCATCGTATGGATGTACCACCATAATTTGTTAATATTGCTACTATCGAAACTGATGTTGATGATTTCCATTATTGTAGTCTCTATTTTATTTTATTTTTTAGTTTAGTTTTATCTTATCTTTTTGTGTGGGCTCCTTGATTTCAGGCTTTGGCAGTAGGAGTAGACAGTTTGTTCCTTTGTTGAGTTGCCTTCCGTTCACCGCCTACGGAGAAAAGTACAGCTTATGTGGTGGTGAATGCAAGAGACAGGGTTTGCCAATCCGCCTAGTGACTGTAATAAATGTTCTCCATCTGGGCCTCCCACACAGGGGATGGAGGGACGAAAGTTAGGTGAATGAATAAAGAACAGCCATAGAGTAGGGTAAAGGATATACAAAGTGCTCAAGTTTATCACACTGTTTGAATTTTTTTTTCCTGTATCATTTTCTTTTAGCCTGGACATTTGCTGTGAAGGTTATCTTTGATTTCACTGAGTGGTTCTTGATATTGAGGCATCTTCCCTTTTTAAACAGAAACACCAAGTTTTATACAGAAAAATGTTAGAATTGCTCTCCAAAAATGCACAAATCATAGTTCTATGCTGAGCATGGGTATTTTATATTAATTGAGGGAAACTGTATGTATTAGGAGTGTATTAACTGACATAATATTTTTAAATTATATATCCATGTGCTGCAGAGAACCAAAAAAATCATATTCTTTAGAATACTAGTATTTTGAGATCCTTTACCAAAAAGAAACAACAGATTCATGATCAAATAATTTATGGAAATGCTTTTTGCCATACCCTCTTTTCGTATATCAACAGGGCACAATAGTATATAAATGGCTTTATTCAATCACAAATTTCTCATCTTCTTTGGCAACAAAACCTCCCTTCTCCCTTTTTTTGAGTAACAAATCCCAACAACTGAGAAACTAGTGTTGAGAAGTGCTCTGTTAAAAGTATTAATTCAATTCTATAAAAGACTATAAACAATAAAGTTCAGAAGGTTGTCCTGTTAAAAATGTACAAACATTAATACTTTTCTTATATGTAACTTCACAATAAGATAATAGAACAAAACCATAATTCAAAAAGTTCATAAAATATCCTGAAATTAGCATATTTTGTATTGGTGTGGGAGTAGACAGGCCAGTAAAACAGAATACATTTCAGAAATAAGACCATGTACATAAGGGAATATGAAACATGAAAAAGATGACGAATCAAACCAACGTGGGGCTATCCATTTAGAATAAAAAATAACTCCCTCTTTCAGTAGGTGAATGAATAAATAAATTGTGGCACATTCAGATAATAGAATATTTAGAGCTAAAAAGAAATGAGCTATTGAGCCATGAAAAGACATGGAGAAAACGTAAGTGCATATTACTAAGTGATAAAGCCAATCTGAAAAGACTACATAGTGTATTATTCTAACTCTATGACATTCTAGAAAGACAAACTTATGATGATCATGAAAAGATCAGTGGTTGACTGTGATGAGATTTGGGGGCATAGGGAGAAAGATGACTGGCAGAGCACAGAGTATTGTTAGAGTAGTGAAGAAACTATGATACTATATGATACTGTATGATAATATAATGATAGGCACATGTCATTATACATTTGTCCAAACTCACTAAATGTGCAATAACAAGAGTGAGCCCTAATGTAAATTGTAGACTTTGGGTGATTATGATGTCAGTGTTCATCCTTAGTGAAAAATGCACTGTTCTGGTCAGTGATGTTAATAATGGGGGAGAGAGTGCATGTGTGAGGAAAGGGGTTATATGGGAAATCACTGTACCTTAATCTCGATTCTACTGTAAACCTAAAAATGCTCTAAAAAAAAAAAGATGCTTAAAAATAGTTTTAAAAAGAATTAAAAAAAACAATTCCCTACATCACTATCAGATTCAAATAAATTCCAGGAGTTAAAAAAAAAAAGCTATGATTTAAATATAGACAAATAACAAAAACAAAACAAGATTTTACCCCATAACATATTAAATAAATTAGGGACAAATATTTCTATAATTTTGGAGGAGGAAT